ACGGCTGTTGCCACCTTGTCCTTTTCGGCACGAAGTTCGTCTCTGAGAGTGGCGATTTCCTTCTTGAGGTTGGACGTCGCTCGATCTTTGTCCGAAATCAGTCTGTCTCTGTCGCCGAGCGTCCGTTTCGACGAGCGAAGTTCGTCGTCGATACTTTCGATCCTCCTGGCGTTCGCTTCCACCTCCTCCTTCAGGTTCCTGTTCTCTTCAAGAACCTCCGAATGACGCGTTTGGTCCTTTTTCAGGTCCTCGATCGCACTCTTCAATCGCATAACCGTCTTCCGTTCCTCCTCCAGATCGGATTGCTCTCGCCGCAACTCCTCCTTCTCTCCGATGCTCACTTCCATTTCGTACAACGACTCTTCGGGTTGCCGTCTTAACAGTTCTCTCTGCAATTCGACGTTCTTGTCGGCCATGGATTGCGCGTGCTCGTCTGCCTTTTTCACGGCCGCCTCCACAATCCGTCTGTTTTTCACTTCCTCGTCGTATCGCTTGCAAGCCGTTTTCAGGTTTTCTTCCAAGACGTCCACCCGCTTTTCGTACATGGACATCGCGGTCTTGGCGAGCGTCGACTCTTTCTTCAGCGCACTGATTTTGTCATCTTTTTCTTCCAACTCCTCTTCCAAGTCGGCGTGCGATCTCTCTCGGTCTTTCAGTTTGCGGACGGCTTCCTGCAGCTTTTGCTGCAGCTCGAGTCCGCTCTCTTCAGGTGGCGGCTGCATCGACTTTCTCCTCGCGGCTTTCAGATCCGATTCCAAGCGAACCACGTCCAGATCCCTTTCCTTCAGTGCATCCGTCTTGGAAGCGAGTTCGGTCTTGAGACGTTCGACCTCTTCCTCCGCGATGCTGCGAACGTCGGACGATTCTCTCAACGCGGACATCTTCGCCTCGTGTATTTCGTCTTTTAATTTCTGTATGACGACTATGGCTTCGGTCAGTTTTCGTTCCTTTTCCGCAAGTTTGTCCTGCACCTCGTTCAGCTTCTGGTTGCCCAGTTCCAACGTACGTTCGTTCTCCTTCGCCGATTCTCGACGGTGAGCATCGAGATCTTCCAGCGGGACGGACTTGGGAGTCGCCGGTGTCGAAGACGACGTGGGTCTCGCGTACTTCTCAGGTTCGTCTGGGACTCGTCGACCGTCTTGAGACGGATCCCACTCCAGATCGTCGTTTTCG